TGACAGAAAGTAATCATGTCACTTAATCCATACAGGATGATATGAACACCCTAAGGAGGTGAGCCCAACGTAAGAACTTGAAGACAGAATTTTATTGGTCTCTCATACAGGATGATATGAACACCCTAAGGAGGCGAGCCCAATGTAAGAACTTGAAGACAGAATTTTATTGGGCTCTTCACAGAACCATAGAACGGCTTGGGTTGGATGTGACCTTAAAGATCACCTAGTTCCAACTCATCTGCCATGGGCAGGGACATCTTCCACTGGATCAGGTTGCTCAAAGCCCCATCCAACCTGGCCTTGAACATTGCCACAGATGGGGCATCCACAGCCTCTCTGGGCAACCATTATTCTACCGAAAATCTGTAGGACAAACCCAGTGTCTTTTGATTAAGGTCCAATTTAAAAATGCATTAACTTTTTAATTGAGAACATGGCTGGGAATCAGCAGTTCTGATGATTTTAGCATAGCATGGGAAATAATGCTGGATAACTAAGCCTTCATTTAAGGGGAAAAAAATCTTCAATCTTTTATTGTGTAGGCAGAGACTGACTATCATTCAAATGCTGAAAAGCTTCAATTCTCCCACCCAAGTGCATGTAAGGGGGGAGATATCAAACCTCTTAAGGCTCATGGAAAAGCTTGTCCCTTGTGGAAGCCAAGGAGAGCACTCCCAGTAACTCCCAGGGAGCTAAGTGGACTCTGAAAGCTTCTGGGGATCTTCCTTTTCTTATCTACAGACCTGAAAGCCTAAGAGACAGAGAGAAAGCCTCAGGCTGAGTTCTCACATTACTCTCCCCAGCTCCCTGAAGACCTGCTGACAGCTCCCTGTTTACCAGGAAGTTTACTGAAGAGGAAAAGGAGGGAGGCCCAATACTTCCTTTCTGTTGCTTCTCCCTGCACCCTTCAATGTCCAATGCCTCACCCTCAGGACATCAGAAGAGGACTTCTAAGAAGCACAAATCACAGTGAAAGAGCACAGCCCAGCAGGGAGGTTATGCTAATTCCAAGAGAGTGGGGAGGTCAGCTTCAGCAGTCCTGTGCCAAAGTGCAAATCTGGCACGGGATCTATTCTCCGCACCCAGCGCAGCCTCTGACAACACACAGCATAACACAGAGCAAATCATACCCGCTGGCCTGCTATCAGACAACAGCCTGGGGGGGCCGCAGCAACGAGGGGGAAGCTAATTCCACTCTTTGGGCACAGGAGTTACTTAAGGACTGAAAAGCAGACAAGCTACTTGGGTGGCAAAAGCTCTCTTGTCATGAGGCCGAGCAGCACAAAACATCAATGCACGCAGTGCCGCCTTAGGAATCCCATGGGAGAGCTGGGGAGAAAGCACATACGGAGCTTTCTTGATCTCAAGTGGATGGAAAGGACCTACACCTAAGAGTCTATTCCTGAATCCACTTGGAGGAGTTTTGGATCAAGATCCATCGCTGAGAAGTTTCTTAAAACAAGCTGTGACACCTATCAGCCTAACAGTTATCTTTTTGGTACCAGCTCATGAAGATGGATTTCTTTTGAGACTTCAGATGTATTTGCAATAATTTTTAGAAGCACCTTAGTACAGAGAAGTAATTAGCAAAACTTGCACCAGCTTCAGGGGGAGCAGAACCTCACCTTCCACCTCTCAAACTCCAGAAATGTAATATTATGTTTACTGCAGGGCCCTCATGAAACCCTGCAATAACAGCACTAATTTTGAATTGCAGAGTTTCTCCACCTCGACACTATTTCATGGAGGCTGACATCTCCTTCTGCCCCCACCCCCTCAGGCTCTGAACAAGAAAAGTTTCCCTGGATTTAGAACTAGTTCTTGGCTTCTTATTTTATTGCATAATTTTCAAATTTCTTTTTTCTTCCCCACCCCCCTTTCTTTCCAGTCTAAGGTGGCACCAAAGTTGACTGTTAAAATCACATGGAATGCTGTGATTGTGGCCAGGATGGATTTCTCCTCTCTGACACAATTTTCAGGTGAGGATTGTTTCATAAATCATCTTTTTTTTTTTTTTCCATCTACTGGTTGTAGCCAGGGATTACTTAGGCTGAATTCAAAATCTGCCACAGACATCCTTTTGTCATCTGGATTGTTGCTCTTCTGCATTTAACTTACATAAATGGTGTGCACTTCACAAGAAATAGAAAAACTGGACACTCTTTTTAACACATTCTGTGTTATACAGCCACCCCGCTCTATGGAAATGCTTTTATTTCAAGTAGCTGGGAGAGAAAAACCTTCCTAACTTTGAAGTGGTTTTTATTGCATTGAAGAGAGACAGAGAGAGAGAGACTGTCAAACCCCATTTCATTTTTAAAGTTAACTGTAAAGTTTTAATTAGGTCCTCTGAAGAAGAATTCTCCGATGCTTTATGTTTAAGAGTTAGCAATAGTATATGATCCACTGACTTCTATCATTAAGTTCAGTTGACAAAGGCCAACACAACTCTTTTCTTTGTAACTTTGTAACCATTTATGTTTGAGGTGAAGATGTTAATATGGAAATTTTGTGAGCTGGGAACGACTTCGAACTCTATCATTGTAATTTATGACCTTTCATCTAAGGCCAAATGTAAAGGCAATCACAATTGTTCTATATCTCAAGGCCAGCACACAGCAGATGTATGAAATTTGGAGTGTTAGACATAAACTTTTATTACCAAATTATAAATAATTTCTACCACTTACAATGTTCACCTTTCAAGTTCATCTTGATTCAAACGCAAGGGCAGCATCTCGCTGAGTTCCATGAGTTATACAGCTGGAACAGCTCTGTCACAGAACAGTATGAAAGGATAAAGCAATGCAGTATTTAAAAGAACCTACAGATAGCAAGGTACATGATGTTTTAGATCAAAATCCTTTTTCATCTAGATGATAAGCAAACAAACAAAAGAGTTTCACTAAACAATGACATCTTAATTTTATTTTCACTCCTGAAGCTGTGAAATCTTTAAGGAGTCCACTGAATGTGGACTACCTAAATCCTTTGAAGACCACCTTCCCGAGGTCACTGGGGTTTTGTCACTCAGGAAATAACACATTCTTTAGGTTGTCTAATAACAGATGTGATGACATAACTTCCTGCACCTACAAGATGGGAATTCCCTTCCCAGGTGCAAATCGTGCTACACCAAAGTGCTCAGCAACATATGCCTTCCTACATGAAGGTTATTTTACCACAGGGAACAGCACGTGAGACTGCTTTGAGACCCATGGCAAACCAAGGACGATTACCTGGGATTTGGGTTCGTGACTTGGTCTCAAACCACAAAAGAAGGGAGCTAAGGATACAAAACTTGCCAATCTCAATGCCCATGATTCAAAATAGATGTGTTTGTGAATTTAATAGGGTATGCGGCAGGAAAGCAGAAGGATTTTGTTGGCTGACATCAACCAACCAAAGTATCCACAGACACAGAAACTGTAACGAAATATACGCCAAAACTAGCTAGAAAGCAGGCTTGCGAGCAGAAGGCAAAATAGCTCAGCAGGTTCTGATGGCTAGCAAAAAAAAGAAATACGCCACTATAAAGACAAGCTCATAAGAAATAAAACAAAGAGAAAGGCTCCCAAAGCATAAAATATCCCTAGTTGGACTTGCAAAGTTGTCACGAAAATTTACCAACCCAGGTATGAAAAAATCTCCTTGCCCAGTCTTTATCACAGAGATCAATACTAACAAAAACCAGAGTACACCCTTATCAAAGCGCTGTGCACCGAAGCCGGGCAGCCAAATAAAACTTTGCAAGCCTGCTCTCCGGAGTAACTATTTTACGATCCTTTTCTGCTTCAAGTACTAGATATAATCAAGCACAGTTGGACGTTCCTGATTAACATGACGGTTGCCTGGAAACACGGGCACAACGTGGCTTGACTTTCCTGGCTGTGCCTGTGCTTGAACTCTGGGACAGCCAGGTGAACAGGGTCAGGTTTGCAGACCTCACCCCTTCAAGCCTTTTAGCATAAGATTTGGGGGGGGGGGGGGAAATGCTACCGGATGCCCGTTCAAAAAGAGAAGATAAACAACTCCAGAAGGAAGAGAGAACATGAATCTGTGTTCTGAAAAAGCCACAGCAGGCTTTCTTTGCATCACGAGAATTAAGAGTTTCACCAAGATACTAAATCAAAAATGGAAGACTAAAATCCCTGTCCAGAAGCTTTCACAGCTGATTAACTCCTGTCACGGTACTAAATCCCTTAAAAAAAAAAAATAAATAAAGTATTCTCCATACATTAGGGAATAGTGGGGAGAAAGGGGAAAAGATGAGGAGAAGACAAAAGTACAACTTATTGGTGTGCCATATTCTTTCCAGGCGACATTTTAAAAAATAATAATATATACCTCTTTGCTTCTGTGTTCACTAATTCATCTGTGGAACAAACTGAGCAACACCTTCCTCTCCAGCTCTGGTACGGACATCTACACCGAGATCTGCAAGACGAGCACTTATTTATCCAATAAGCCCCATGGAATTAGTAGAATCTTGTTATATTTGCATATAGTTATAGAGAATTTTAGAAGTGCCTGGGTCGGAAGGGGCCTCTGAGGTGATTGAGTCCAACCATTAACCTGCCACGGCCAAAACCACCACTAAACCGTGCCCCAAATGTACTGGATCACAAAATTTTTCCACAAGAAATCGATAGGATTTGGGCATGTAAGTGTAAGGAAGCCATAAAAAGCGCATCTCTGTGAGGAAATGAAGTGTCCCGGGGGTCAAGCCCTGTCAGCACACCCTGAGGGGTTTGGGGGGAGTTACATGAAAAACCCACAGCATTTTTAGGCCTTCGCACTGCCAAACCGGCCTCTCACGGCCCCAACAGCAGGGAGGAACCCACCCGAAACCACGGAGGCGGTGGGTGGGTGGGGAAAACCCACAGTGGGGACCGGGAGCTGGAACCTCACCTCACGGGCCCGCACGGAGGGAGGCGGGCCGCGGCCGCCCCTTCCCGCCCACAGGCCCCTCCTTCCCTTCCCTCCCCTCCCCTCCGCGCGCCCTTTCGCCACCGCCGCGGTTTGTCCCTGCCGCCGCGCCGTAGCGGGGCGGTGCTGACTGGGCCCGGCGGGAAGGGGCGCTGGCGGCGGGTGAGTAGGGCC